TGCGTATACCAGCCAGTACACAATCGGGCTACGTTAGTGTGTTAGCGCATGCGCAATATCTCACCAGAGGAGTTATATTTTGTGATGAATATGCATTTAAAATGGTTAGGGGTATCTCAGCACAGATTTCCCAAATAAACTTTCATCCGTTGCCATGTGTTTATAGTTAGGAGAGCTCCCTAGCTTGTGGGGTACAAAACACTTTCTTTATGCCCTCGCGTCCTGCCCCTTGCTTGCTCTGTCCCTCGCTCAACCTACTTCTTCTCTCACCGCCCCTCGGCTGTCTTCTCTGCAACCTTCCCTCGGCCTTCCCTGATTAATTGCCCATAAATTACACTTGATAATATATGTATATGTACACATGACGCGAATATAATTGAGAAAATATACATATATTATCAAGTGTAATTTAAGGGCAATTAATCAGGGAAGGCCGAGGGAAGGTGGCAGAGAAGACAGCCGAGGGGCGGTGAGAGAAGAAGTAGGTTGAGCGAGGGACAGAGCAAGCAAGGGGCAGGACGCGAGGGCATAAAGAAAGTGTTTTGTACCCCACAAGCTAGGGAGCTCTCCTAACTATAAACACATGTCAACGGATGAAAGTTTATTTGGGAAATCTGTGCTGAGATACCCCTAACCATTTTAAATGCATATTCATCACAAAATATAACTCCTCTGGTGAGATATTGCGCATGCGCGCTCACCGTGTTAGGCGTGCAATGCCATCTGAGGCAAACTTCATAATATATCTTGCTGCGGGAGAGAGGGGATGGGAGACTGAGGAAAGGCGGCAGGGAAGATAGCTGGGGAAATCTATGCTGAGATACCCCCTAACCATTTTAAATGCATATTCATCACAAAATATAACTCCTCTGGTGAGATATTGCGCATGCGCATACACACTAACGTAGCCAGATTTGTGTACTGGCTGGTATACGCAGCTGGGACCTTACATGCAAGGTCTTCCTCCGATTTCTTAAATGATGTCTATTAATGGAATGTTATCATATAAATATATGCTAGGATAACTCCTCTTCACTTTAAATGCATAATCCTTGCAAAACACGATTTCTCTCGAGAGATATTGCGCATGCACGCTCACCGTGTTAGGCGTGCAGTGCCGTCTGAGGAAAACTTTATAATATAGCTTGCTGCGTGGGAGAGCGGATGGGAGACTGAGGAAAGGCTGTAGGGAAGATAGCTGGGGGCGGTAGAAAAAAAGGCGGCTGAGCGAGGAACAGGGGAGGCAAGGGGAAGGACGCGAGGGCATAAAGTAAATGTTTTGTACCCTACATGCTAGGGCGCTCTCCTAATTATCAACACAGGTCTACTAATAAAAGTTTATTAGGGATATCTATGCTGAGATACACCCTAACCATTTTAAATGCATACTCATCACAAAATATAACTGCTCTGGTGAGATATTGCGCATGCGCTAACACACTAACGTAGCCAGATTGTGTACCCGCAGGTATACGCAGCGGGGACCTTACATGCAAGATCTTTCTCCTATTTCTTAAATGATGTCTACTGATGGAATGTTATTATATAAATCTATGCTAGGATAAATCCTCTTCATCTCTTCATTTTAAATGCATAATCTTTGCAAAATACGATTTCTCTCGGGAGATATTGCGCATGCGCGCGCACTGTGTTAGGCGTGCAGTGCCGTCTGATGCAAACTTCATAATATAGCTTGCTTGATAGCGCCAATGCAGCGCTCTGTAAGTTATTAGTAGCACGTTATAGTGTTGCCGGCGTTATATTTGTATGACGGGGGCCTAAGGCCACCTATATCGAATTGTAATAATAGTGTATGATGCGGGCCCAATGCCACATATATAGTATTTGTTTGACGGGGGCCTAAGGCCACCTATATAGAATTGCAATAATAGAATAGTGTATGATGGGGGCCCAAAGCCACATATAGTGTTTGTATGACGGGGGTGTAAGGCCACCTATATAGTATTGTAATAATAGTGTATGCTGGGAGCCCAAGGCCACATATATAGTATTTTTTATGACGGGGGCCTAAGGCCACGTATATAGAATTGTAATAATAGTGTATGATGGGGTCCAAAGACCACATGTATAGTATTTGTATGACGGGGGCGTAAGGCCACCTATATAGTATTGTAATAATAGAATAGTGTATGATGGGGGCCCAAGGCCACATATAGTATTTGTATGACGGGGGCCTAAGGCCACCTATATAGTATTGTAATAATAGAATAGTGTATGATGGGGGCCCAAGGCCACATATATAGTATTTGTATGACGGGGGCCTAAGGCCACCTATATAGAATTGTAATAATAGTGTATGATGGGGTCCAAAGACCACATGTATAGTATTTGTATGACGGGGGCGTAAGGCCACCTATATAGTATTGTAATAATAGAATAGTGTATGATGGGGGCCTAAGGCCACATATATAGTATTTGTATGACGGGGGCCTAAGGCCACCTATATAGTATTGTAATAATAGAATAGTGTATGATGGGGGCCTAAGGCCACATATAGTATTTGTATGACGGGGGCCTAAGGCCACCTATATAGTATTCTAATAATAGAATAGTGTATAGGGACCCAAGGCCATATATATATATTATTGTATATGACGGGGGCCTAATGCCACCTATATAAAATTGTAATAACTGTGTATGCTGGGGGCCCAAGGCGACATATATAGTATTTGTATGACGTGGGCCTAAGGCCACCTACATAGATTTGTAATAATAGTGTATGATGGGGGCCCAAGGCCACATATATAGTATTTGTATGACGGGGGCCTAAGGCCACCTATATAGAATTGTAATAATAGAATAGTGTATGATGGGAACCCAAGGCCACATATAGTATTTGTATGACAGGGGCCTAAGGCCACCTATATAGTATTGT